ACTGCGGAGGTTTGGGAACTCGTTGAAGGGTTTGGGCGCTGGCGGCATGCACCAGGCCTGGTGGTGTGGTCCTTCCTTCGGGGTGGGGCCGGAGCGGGGTTACAGTCGGGGCCCTGAAGAAGGAACCCTTCTCGTTGGGGAGGGGCTCCGCGTTCCTTAAGTGTTTCATAGCTTGCCTCAGGCTTTCCTTATGTTATCGAAGGTCAACTTATGGAAAAAAGGGGCCTCGTTCCTTATTTAGGGTTCCTTAGGTCAACGCCCCGACTGTATTGCTACGAAGGGCGTTGGCAACAAGCGCATCAGGGTGCGCATCGAAAATGGCGGGCGTGGTGCTGTTCTGCGGGCTTGTGCTGCGAAGCCGGTCCGAGTCGAGCGCCAGACGGCAACGGCCGAGGAGGGGAAGGCTGTCAGAAGAGCAGGGCCTCCCTGAGGCTTTCGGTTCTTAGTCTCTGTCGCTTGCCAGCCACCAATTGTCGGCCAAGCGCTCGCAGCTGCAATGGGGGCGGACCTGGGGGGTCTGCAACCTTCGGAGGTGTCTCTCCCGTCAGAGGTAGCGGGACGTGCCTCATCCGCGTGCGTTTCAGAGTCGGTGGCTCTTTTTAAGCGTGAGCCCTCTGCTCCTTGATGCAGATTCGGCTTGCCAGGAGACGGGAGGCGGCTGTGATATGAGCACGGTCTCTGCATTCCAGTTGCCCTCGCAGCCCGATTCACCGTACCAGCATAATCTGCGGAGTGGGGCCCCTCATGACTCGTCCTTGGAGCCTTTCGCGGTGGTGGTCTTGACTCCGCCTGATCCGCCTCCGCCTCCTCTGTGTCCTCGGCCTCATCCTCCTCAGCTTGACCGCCCCCTGTTCCACCCACAGTGCTTGCTTACGTGCTCGCACCAAGGGCCTGTCTTATTCTTGCTTGGTTCCCGAGTAGTCGAGTGGCCAGAGCCTCAGGGGGGCTCCGCCCGATCGCCGCTCGTGGCCGCCTCGTCGCCGCTTCGTCGCCGCCTCGTGCGTGCTCCTCCGGTCGCCACCCGTGGCCGCCTCGTCGACCTCCGCCTCGCCGCCGCCTCGCGCGCTGCCTGGCGTTCCCCGGGGGCTCGCCTCGTGGCCGGCCCCGGTCGCCGCCCCCCTTTGCTTGGTGTCTGCGCTCTTGAACACACAGACACGAGTAATCGGCGATTCCCAGGAAATAAAGGAAAGTATGGGAAGTGGGGGGGAAGACAAAAACCCAGAAAATATAGGAAAATATGGGAATGTCTTTCTTCGTGTGTACTTATTCGTGTGTCCCGGTTCCCCTTCAGCAGCAGCTCCCTGCTTCGGGCCCACGCTGCCAAGCACTTCCGGGAGGGGCCCCGGGGGAGCAGGAACCTCCTTTCTGCAGAGCTCTGGAGATCGGACCTCCATTCCGGAGCGGGGAGCCTTCAGAGTGGATTCGGAAGGGAGGTCGGGCATCATCCGCTTGTCAGGCACCCTCTGGGGACATTGCGATACCCGCTCGGTCTCTCCACAGTCAACGCGCCTGGTAAGGACGCGCGCCTTCGTCTAGGATGCCCTTGCGTCCTTGCCTCTGTGGCCCGTCCTTGGCCGTCTTCACTGGCCGCCGCCGCCCAAAAGAATCCCAACTTCAGCCTCCAAGGGTCTTGCGTCCTTACCACGCGTCCTTAATATACGTTTTGCCTGTACCCTCCAGGCGCCCTCGCGGCCCGCCTTGCCGTACCAGCTCAGCCAGGTCGGCCAGCTCAGCCCCGGGCTCCCAGCCGCAGGCCAGCGCGCCTCGGAGCACGCACTGGGCTCCCTGGGCGACGACGCCCAGCGGGCGACCTCTGGATGCGCGTCCGAGCCGCTGGTGCCGCGGGGGCTCGGCGCCTCCTTCGTGCGGAGCCCGTCTTCCTCCCAGGCGCCGATGACGCTCCAGATGGAAGGGCCAGGGTGCCGTCGGGCAGCCGGCGGCTTTCGGAGCCAGAGGACGGACTCGAGCCTCCCCTGCATCAAGGACGGGGCTGCGCAAGTGCCTTCCCTCGGGGCAGTTCCAGGGTACCCGAACATGTTGTACCAAAGGTTGTCCAGCTCGCGGAGGGATCCCTGACTTGAATTCTGGCGTAACCCGAATTTATTTTTGCTAGGTGACGTGCATTCACTGACCTGACTGAACTGGTTGCACCCGTTCGAAGACTGCTTTGTAACCGGCCGCCGAGCGCACAAACCATGGCGCAAAAAATATGTAGCCGACTGTTTCCACGGATCGCGCATCCGACGGATGGCGCAACCCACGGATTGCGCTGGCTCTACCGACGGATGGCGCAACCCATGGCATGATGGCGTAGCCCATGAACAGTGCAACCCGTGGCGCAGTTCCTAGCGCAACCCGTGGATGGCGCAAGCCGTGGAGCAACCCATGGATCGCGCACCATGTGCCGCAGCACGTGGCGTAACCCAGGTATCGCGCAACCCATGGCGCGCCACATGGGTGGCACACAGACACACAGACAGACACCCACCCACACACACATACACACAGACACTTAAGCACACACAGAGACACTCAAGCACACACACACACAGACACTCAAGCACACACACACACACACACGCGCACACACACACACACACTCGCCTCTGGCAGTTCCCGTATAGGGCTACGCACGATTCGTGTTCGCCGCTTGGGCTGGCGGTGGGGGCCCAGGCGGCGAGCCGTCTTGTGATCATGCCGGCCGAGGACGACGAGCCCGGCGAGGGCGAGGCGGCGTCGGCCCCGCGCTCGGAGAGGAGCGACGAGGAGAGCGACGGTGACGACAACGAGGACGACCAGCTCCGCTTCGTGGCACGGGAGGTCTGGACGAGGCTCGTGCGTGGTCCGATCGTTTCATCCCGGCAGGGCCACATTCCGAGGAGGGCGAGCTCAGACTCGGGCAGTCGGTCTTCGGTGGGGGCCCCCGTCGCCGCGGCCCGGACGCAGCTCGGAAAAAATCTGTGCTTCTGGACACCAGGAGGGGTCCAGGTCTGGGGACCGATGTTGAGCTGCCGTTGTTCCAAGTCCCCCTTCTCTGATCCCTGCTTGTGGATGCCAACCTCAGCCTCCTGCGGCCCAAGACATGCGCTTGTGCGGAAAGCCCAGCACAACTATCAGTTCGCGGGTTGCAGGACCTGCTCTGTCCCCTCGGCTGGGGGGAGGAGGACGGGGAGGTGAGCAGAGTGGGAGGGATGCGTGGGCATAATGCCAAGGAACGGGAGGGCAGAGCATCAGCGCTTTTTGGGACGATCCCCTAGGCGCGGCCAGATGACGCGGCTTTCCGTGCAGCCTATCCGGGACAGGAAGGCCAGCGCCATGCTGATCTCCCGCAAGAGCACGGCGGGGCCTCAGGATCAGTATGCGGTCGGCCTCGCCGCGAAGTGCATGGTCCACCCATCTGCTACGTGGAGACTGTTGTGGAGCTTGGTTTCAGTGATTGTTCTTTTCTATGACATTCTGATGATTCCGGTTGACATTTGCTTTGATCTGCCAGACACACCTGAGAAGTATGTTTTCGAGACGTGCCTCGCAACCTTCTGGCTCATTGACATGCTCATTCACTTCGCGACAGGGGTGCACAAGGATGGCTACCTCGAAATGCGGCCTAAGATGGTCGCCATCCGAGTTCTCAAAAGCGCTGGGGGCGTTTGTTGTTTAGTCGTCTTACATTTTTCGCTCTTGACTCGACCAACACCTCTTAAAAACGGCACCCCAGAAAGTGGTCGTCAGACAGGCAGCGTTACGACATTCCAGAACGGCTTGAAAGCGCAATGTCTTGGTATCGCTCGGACGTGTGCATGTTTCCGCCGGCGAGGACCATCAAGGAGCATCCTTGATCATCTGGCGCAAAAACCGCGCACGAAACCGAACAAAGCGCAGAGAATGGACGTCCGAGCGATGGCCAGATGTCCACAGGAAGAGCACGGGCAGGTGGGCCACAGGCCGAGATCCCGTGCGCGAGAACGTCGCAAAAAAAGGAGGGCTCCCAGAGCGCAAGTCAGCGAACCGGCGATCTCTAAAACGGGAACGAACGCCCTCAGCATTGGCTTTTGGCATCGCTCGGGCGTGTGCATTTTTTTCTCGGCGAGAACCATCGAGGGCCATCCTGGACCATCGAGCAAACAAAAACACGCACGAAGCCGAAGAAATGCACGGGAAAGGGACGTCCGAGCGACGGCAAGTTGGTCAATTACACCAGAGGTCGCTATATCGTACCTGCGGACGTGGTTCGTCTTCGACTGCCTCCTGGTCTGCTCCGAGTTTGCCTGGCTGCTGCTGGCGTGGGGCCCGGCGGCCGAGTCCGTCTCGCTCTTGCGGATCGCACGCACGATGCGCCTCCTGCGCCTCCTCCGCGTAGCGCGCCTGTCGCAGCTGAGCAACGACTTGTTGCTCTTCGCAAATGACGGCATCGTGCTTTTCGTGGGGCTGTTGAGGGCTGCGCTGCAGATGTTGCTGATGGTGCACATAGCCGCGTGCTTATGGTACCCGATTGGATCGGAAGACAGCCAGGGCTGGGTCTACCGACTTCATATCGATCGCAAGAGCTTGTTCAGCCAATACACGTACTGCTTTAATTGGGCGATCTCATTGCTGCACGGTACCCACTTCGTGCACCCAGTTACGATATCCGAGCAGGTTTTCGCCTCCTTCTACAGTCTCTTGTCACTCGTCATGTATGCCTTCTTCATCGGGAAGATGGTCCAGGCGGTGGAAGCCATGGAGGAGAAACACCACATCCAGATGCAGCGTTTATGCAGGCACTACCTCAGACGCCGCAACCTGTCGGCGGAGTTGGCAATGAAGTTGGATAAATATTTCAATAAGAATAACGCGAACCTCCGGAAGACGCTTAATTTGCGAGAGCGGCTCGAGCACGAGACCAGGCTCGTCGAGGAATTGCCCGCAGTGCTGCAGATGGACCTCTACGAGGAGGTCCGACGTCCGCTGCTAGAACAGACTAAGATGATCAGCGACCTGAAGCTCGCGCAGCGGGACTCGCGGGTGCTCCGCGAGCTGTGCCACGAGGCTATCACTGGCGAGGTCAGCCTTCCTGGGGAGTTGGTGTTCACGATGGGTGATCCGTGCTCGAGGACGCTGGTCGTCGAGTCAGGGAGAATGACTTACTACCAGGGCCTGGTCACTGACGCGGAGGCAGCGTCGGCGTCCCTGAGCACTTGGATGGCGCGCGACCCGGGCGCCGCCCCTCCCACTGACAACGACGACCAGGCGTGCGTGGTGCACGAGAGGAGCAGCGACGGAAACCTGCGCGAGGACTCCGCCCCGCGGAGGATCAGGTTGACGGGTTACCAGAACCATACCCAGCCGCTCGGCGAAAAGGGCAGCCTCTCAAGCACGGAGCGCGAGTTCCTGGAGAGGCAGATGGGGCGTGGCGTCCACGTCAGCGAGGCGGTGCTCTGGACCAAGTGGGTGCACTGCGGCGACCTGGTCGCAGACTCCGACGCCACAACACTGGCGATGGAGGCGCAGCGCTTTGCCGAGATCATCTGCAATCACGAGAGGGCCCGCGTACATGCGATGCACTACGTTCAGGGCTTCATGTCGCACTTGAACGAACTGAGCAACGATGAGGCCTTCACAGACCTTCTGCAAATCCCGTCGGACGTGTTCAACAATGCAACGTCTTTGCACCACGCTAACACGATATTGCACCCGTCGCATCATCTCCTCTTCCTTTCGCACTACAAGCAGGAGGCAGGTACTGAGGCAACCCTATTGGAGGAGGAAGTCTGCAGCCTGATCCGCAGGGACCCGTCCAATGTTGCAAACGATTTCCGCAGACCAGTTTTCCTCGATTCGCAGGACTTGCAGGATCTCAGCAGGCTGGAGAAGCACGTGCGCAGGAGCCACTACTTGATTCTGTTGCTGACCCCAGGTGGGGCACGACAGGAAACTGTAGAACATACTTGTGCGCGTGCGTACTCCCGTAGAGAACGTAGGGCACCAATCGTGTACGCAAATAGTATTGACTTGCGTCGTAGTTGTCGTTCGTTGTAGGACATGTGAACTTTTGCACCCCTTCACCAGGTGTGCTCTCGCGTCCTTGGTGCTTGCTGGAGATCGTCACTGCCGTGAGGTCTGGAGTGGAGATCATGCCAGTCGAGATACAGCGCCCAGGCATGCACTTCAAGTACCCTGACGAACGCTATTTGGTGGCCTTCAGCCCATCCCGCCACCTTGCCTGGTTTGCGGGTCGGAGGCCGCTTGGAGGCTTCTTGTATGCCTCTTGGGTGGGGGCTTTGGGGATCTTCTTGTGGGCCTTTTGGGGAACTCTTCGCGCCTCTTGGGCTCTTGAGCGCCTCTGGGGGCCTTTGGGGGACCTCTTGGCGGTCTCGGGGACAATCCTTGCACAAGAGGGCTCGCGGGAACAGCTCGGACTTCAAACAACAAATGCTATCGAAGACGCCTGCGGCGAGTCATCGTTGCCCCCTGCCTTTTGGAGTTCCTTGTGTCGTGACATGTCGAGCGAAAGTGCGGCCACGCTAGTGGACTGCGTATTCCCAAAGCCGTTCGGGAGACCACTGTGGGAACGCTGGCGAAGGCTCTCTTGGGCCATCTTGGGGCCCTCGTGTGCTGCCTTGGGGCGCTCGCGGGTCGTCTGCCGCCTTCGGAGGCCGCCTTGGGGGCCTCTCTGAAGCCCTTGGGGCCGTCTTGGGGCCATCCTGGCCGTCTTGGGACCCTCTTGTGCCGTCTGGGGGCCGCCTTGGGGCCCTCTTGGTTCATCGGCGCGGCCACGCGCCTGCTCGTGGGCGGCCTCCTCCCTACGACGGCCGACGGCTGCAGCGCCCCAGCGTGGCCCACGGCCGAGGTCGAGCGTTGGAGATCGACGGTGAGCAGTGCCCACTTCGGCAGCGCCCGCGGCCGCCCGCTGCGGGCCGGCTTCGCGCTGGCGGTGGCGCAGTGGCGGGGCCCGTGGTGCTCGCAGTCCCAGCGGGCGCTGATGGCCTTTTGAGCCGTCTGCAGCTGGTCTTCGGGGCCTCTCGAGTCGCCCCGGACGCTCTGAAGACCATGCGGGCGAGAACTCAAACACCATGGAGCAATTGGAGGAAGCTCGGTGGCTTTGCTGCTGCAGGCCCTCCTGGGGGATCCATTGGAGCCTTCTTGGGTTGTCGTGCGCCGTCTTGGTGAGCGCTGCCTTGAGGCCATCTTGGGCTGTCTTGGGGCCGAGGCATATTGAACTTACTTAAATGTCAGCGGGGCCACCTTTGACCGACTTTGCGGTGATAAGAGCCCTCTGGGGGTCCCTCTGGGGAGCCATCTTGCACGGGACCGCCACTGGGTCCCAGCTTTTCTGTTGGACCGGCGGTTCTTGTCTCAAGCCACCAGGAAGCCACTAGGAAGCTTCCTGGAAGAGCCAAATGGAGCAATAAACATCGGCACGCCAAGCATCCCTCTGGCAGGCTACGGGGGCGGCGGGTCGAATGGCCTTCGGCTCATCCCATCCCGCCACTGCGCCTGGGTCGTGGACAAGAGGCGTACTTGGGCCTCGTATGGAGCACTCCTGGAGGCCTCTTGGTGGGCTCTGGAGGCTTCTTCGGGGCCTTTGGTGGGCCTACTGGCTGTCTCGTGGGCCATCTGGGGGTGAAGGACTCAACATGGCAGTTTGGGTTCCCCTCCCTCTTGGACGCTTCTGGGATTCTCCTGTGAGCCTCCTGGGCCTTTTTGGGGGGCCTCGGAGGCCCTCTTCGGTGGTTATCCAGGGCCTCGTGGGCCGTCTTGGGCGCTCTGAGAACCCAAATGCAGAGCATGCGGAAATCATCCCAAGGCTACGTTTTGAAATTTGTTGTTGCCTTTCGTGCTGGCCCTCAGGGCACCCAAGGTGGCCCGAGAGCATTCAAAGACGGCACAGGAGCCCACCCGAGGGTTCCTAATTCTTTTTGAGCATTTCTGGGGAGGCTCTGCGGGGACACGTTGGAGTCTGTTTGGGTGGGGCTTGGCTTCCTGGATGCCGACACGACTGACGCCGGAAGCGGCCGCGAATTCCCAGAAATGCGCAGTCGCTGGGCCGGGCCATCAGAATTCGACAATCTTTTCACCACACAAGTACGGGGCCGAACAACATTAGCACCACATCGTTTTCAAGCAGTTCTGACTCCATGGAATGTCACGCGGGCGTCCCCGAGAGCGCCCAGCAGCGCCTGGAAATCCAGGGTCGGGTGCTTTGAAGAATATCTGCAGTATTCAAAACACTGGAAACTCGAAGGGACATGCGGACTCTCCATTCAGTGCCTACGTCACGGTGGCGGATTTCAGGCAGCTTTCCCTTGGCGAGACACTTACCAAGGACGCTGTGAAGCTGTTGCAGACGAAAGGTGTGCAGCTGCAGGAGCTGGCAGTGGCAATCAAGAAGGTTTTCCTCAAGATCGCGCTGCCTTTCTCGCCTCAGAAATCGGGCACGATCCGGGAGGCAGAGGTGCGAGACATCTTGAGCAGGTGCGAAGTCCGTCAAAGCGCTGGGTTCGGATCACAGAACTATCTGTGGGGCGCGGGGTAGGTCACGGGTGCTGTTTGCTGGGAAGGATTTCAAGCTCGACCTGGCAGCACGAATCACATCACTGGACAACCTGTCAGGGTGACTTCTGATTGGCCATTGCGTCTTCGCCCATCGTGGTGCGCATTCGCAGAACGTGGATCTGGAGCAGAGGCTTCAAGATGAGGGGCGCAACAGCTTACTGCTACGACAGGCCCACGTGCAACGACACAGCGATCTCCCTCCCCAACCCGCCAGCATTATCATGAAGTGGCTGCTGGCAATGCCGCTACACTGTGACAGCGATTTCACTCGACCGATTTCTCTGTGCTGAAAATTTGCTTGACATGCCTGGATGTCTGCGGCAAATCCCGCTGCCGCGTCAGCGTAGCATCGAGATTAATGTAGCGTGGTTCTACCGATGTCTCTGAACAGGCTCGGTAGAACCCTCCTGGAGCCGTGTAGGAAGCGGCTACACAGTGCTGCAGCGTGGCACAGCTGTAACGTTGCATGGTTGTTGAGCTGCTCTTTGGAGGCTTCCGTTTTTTGGAGGCTTCTTGAAGGCTTGGAGGCTCCGTTGAGGCCCCTTGGGGGCCTCCTGTTTGAGGCCTGCCACGGCCCTTGTGAGAGGTGCACCGAAGTTGGCGGCGCCGCCAAGCGGACCCTCCGTCTGTGTCCGTACGCTGAGCCAGCCCCATATGCGGCGCAACGGCCCTCGTGAAGGGGTGTGCCGAAGCTGGGGCGGCGCAGCCATGCGTCGGCGCCCTCCTGAGACCTACAAGCCTCGTCAAAAACAGAAACGCAGTTGGAAATCACGACGATCGATCTTCTCCGGCACTTGTTAGAAACTGCGTTCTTCAATGCTGCGGAGGGGTCGTCGGATTTTTGAAGCCCTTGCGTCCACGTCAGATATCTAGCGTCAGCATTGGAGTAGCGCTGACCATGCAATCACCGAAAACAGAATCCCTCAGCTTATTTTTGACGAGGGTTGTGGTAGAGGTGAAACTCCCTGGGGGGCCACGATCCTGGCCAGGGGCACGCCGAAGTGGACGGCGCAGCCACGCGCGGGTGCCCACGGAGGCCGCAGGCGAGGAGCTCCCCGTGGGGCCACGATCCTCGCGAGGGGTGCGCCGACATCAGGGCGGCGTCGGCACTCGGACGCTGCCTCCTCCTCCTCCTCCTCCTCCTCCTTCTCCTCCTCCTCCTCCTCCTCCTCCTCCTCCTCCTCCTTCTCCTCCTCCCCCTCCTCCTTCCTCCTCCTCCTCCTCGCCCTCCTCCTCCTCCTCCTCCTCCTCCTCCCTCCCCCTCCCCCTCCCCCTCCCCTCCCCCTCCCCCTGCCCCTCCCCGTCCCCCTCCCCCTCCCCCTCCCCACAGGGCCATGATGCTCGTGAAGGGCGTGCCGAAAAGGGGGCGGGGGCCCCATGCGCCGGCGCCCACTGGAGCCGCAGGTGGAGCTCCTTATATCGGGGGTGGACAGACCTCCTACCCTGACGCGTCGATTAAGGAATTGGCCGTTTTCAGTTCGCGAGAGGGCGTCGCGGCCGTCATTTTTGCGGGTCCAGGTCTGGCGGATTCGGTCCCAGGCCGTTTTCTTTCAGGGGAGGTTTACTAAAGGGAGGTTTGTCCCCCGCCGATTACAGGGCCACGGTCCTCGTGCGGGGTGTGCCGAGACTGCGGCTGCGGCGCCGCGCGTCAGAGCCGAAACGGCTGCGAGAGTCGCCGTGCGCAAAGCAGCCATCAGCAGCCTGCACCTGCACTTTGGGCTGAGGATGGCGATGCAGCGTACGTCGATCGAGCGTCTCCATTTTCTTGGCCTGAATGCCGGCTGCTGGGCCAAGTAAGTTCAGAGCAGCTCATCGCGAGGACAGCGTGCTGAGGCCGCAGAGCCTCCGATGAACGCTTGCATAAGGCCGGCGGTCAGCCTGGGGAATCGAAGCATGCCGTGAGTCTGCCGGCGGCGGCGCCCTGCGTCGGCACCCGCTGAGACCGGCACGCGTGAGGGGTGCGCCGAAATGGGCACGCACGGAGCCCAGACCCCCGACGTAATGATTTTTTCGTTACGTCGACCCCCAGAGGTCCCGACCCTTTCCCCATGACCGGCTTTGCATTCTGAGTCGTTTTTTGACGCTCCCGAGGCCCGGTGAGGGCCCCCAGAGGCCGAAAATTAGGAAGCACCTCCCGTCGTGATTTTTTCATTCTTCGAGGGGGTCTGGGAGTCAGGGTGGTGCCTGCTCTCTCTCTCTCTCTCTCTGTGCCAGCGCCGGCTTCCTCCGCCAGGCACCTCTGCCTCGACCGTGCCCGCAGCCCCGGTGCGTGCCCTCCGCCGAGCGCCAATCCTCAGCGGAGGCTCCTCCTCCTCCTCCTCCTCCTCCTCCTCCTCCTCCTCCTCCTCCTCCTCCTCCTCCTCCTCCTCCTCCTCGCGCGTGGAGACGACCGTCGATGGCCTTCGGGCGGGGCCGTCGTCGCCACGGCCGGGCGCACCTCGGGAAGCTGGTGCGTTGGAGCCCCCATGGGGGGCCCCGGGGGCCGACTCTGAGGCGCCCCCTGTCTCAGCTCGCCCTGCTCCGGACTGCGCGCAGCCCCGGTGGTTGCCCTGCGCCATCGCCAATGTTTCCCCTTGCTCGGACTTGTGCCCGACTGCCCCTTCTCATCAGTGGTCCTGCCTGCGTAGTCGTTTCGGAGTTTTCGGAGCCGCGTGTCCGCTTCGTGGCATCTGTTCTGCGCCTGCTGTAGTGATACACTGTTGCTACCCCGTTCTCTGTTGTACTACGTGCCTGGGGACAGCGTGAGACAGCTCGGACCTCTGACTGTGACTGTGGATGTAGAGTACCCCATCGCAGATGTGGACTAGTCGCCATCCCACTGAGAGTAAGCATCTGCAAACCAGCCTCTGCATGCCAGCTATAGTTTGACTATGTCCTAGTAATTTTACCCGTGGTGCTCGCACAGGCTCTCCGAGAGGCTCAGGCGCAACGGGACTCTAGCAAACGAGGAAAGGAAGACAGCACGCTCTGAGATTGCCAGGTGAAGCAAAAAGCACCCCGGCACCCCTCGCTTCGATCTCCTCCGCAGCGTTTGGCTGAGTTGCGCCCAGTACCCCGCTGGTCGATCGGGAGCTCCAGGACGAGCCACGCCGGCGATGAGCGTCAGCAGGACTGCTTTGCTGCTGGCCGCCGCGATCTGTGCAGCCACGTCGCCCACGGCTCAGGCCAAGGACGGGCTGCCGCCATGGTGGATTCTCAACGGCGTCCGCCCCGCGGGGCAGGAGAAAGACATGGGCACGTACACCGTGCAAACGTTCTCTAAGGAGCAGCAGCACGGCTTCGGCGTCGGCGAGGCGGGCGAGGTCGTCGACGCCAATCGGTTCGACGCGGCCCTGCGGGCCCTCCGTGCAGGCCAGCGGCTGGTCGTGGCGCAGGAGCTGGCTGGTCGAAAATCCCGGATGAGGAGGCCAAGGCAGGCGGAGCAGAAGGAGGAGGAGGAGGAGGAGGAGGAGGAGGAGGAGGAGGAGGAGGAGGAGGGCAACGAGGAGGAGGCCAACGAAGAGCAGGAGGAGCAGGAGGAGGAGGAGGAGGAGGAGGAGCAGGAGGAGGAGGAGGAGGAGGAGGAGGAGGAGGAGGAGGCGGCCTCTGCTCCGAGGTAACCCAGCAGGAGGACGACGGAGCCGGGACTGCCCTCCTCTCGGACGCCCCCCGGGGAGATGTGGCCCGGCCCCCGGTCGGGCTCTGACCGCGGGGTCCAGACCCCCTCGAGTTATGAAAAAATCACGACGGGAGGTTTTTCACTATTTTTGGCCTTTGGGGGCCCTCACCGGCCCTCGGGACCGTCAAAAAACGACTCAGGACGAAAAACCGGTCCCGAGGAATGGGTCGAGACCTCGGGGGGTCGACGTCATGAAAAAATCATGACGTCGGGGGTCTGGGGGTCCTGTCCACTCATCTGCCGTCCCCTCTTCTTCGGGGGCGGCAGAGAGGGGGGTGATGACTATATAGGGGGGGGGATCTCATGGCGGGGGCCATGAGATCTCCCCGGATTTCATGGCGCCTTCTCTTATTTCGTTACGTCCCTGGCCCCCCCGCTGGGCCGCGCACATGCCGCCGGTCATGAGTTGCACCCCCCCCTCTTGGACACCCCCCTCTTGGCCGCTTCCGACTTCTGCCCGCGCTCCCTCTCTTGTCAGCCCCCGTCCCACATGTGTGGGAGCCTCCCTGTAGCGGGCCAATGCGAACCCCACCCTCCCCCCCAAAAATCGTGGGGGGTAGGGGTAGGGTTCGCATGTGGCCCCCTACCCTCTGCTTTCCGCTCGTCGCCCCGCCTTCTGGCTCGCTCGCTCTCGCTCGGTCCTGTGCAGAGAGGCAGGCTGGGGGGTCGGCCCCCCCCGCCGCATTCCTTGGGGGCGGCTCCCCCTGAGCACGCCCCCCGTTTCTCGAGGACCACCCTAGGGGGCCACATGCGAACCCTACCCCTACCCCCCACGATTTCTGAGGGGGAGGGTGGGGTTCCTTATCACCGCAACACGATGCGACGCAAGCGAAGGCGCTGAACATCGACGCCAAGGAAAGCGCGGTGGAGCAACGCAGAGCATGGCAGCACGATGCAGCACGGTACGCAGTACGGTTCAAAGTGCAAAGGTTCAGCGACAACCATGTAATGATATGCACTGCGATGAAGAGCTCAGCGCAGCCAATCAGATCAAAGCCAGCGATTTCAAGATGGAGCTGAGCAAAGCGAAGGAAAACAACTGCAAGGCATGTGATAGATTGGTCAGCTTGTATTCAGCTCGGCGTCCGTCTGCCCCCCTATGGGGTCTGCACCGGCAGAGCTGCAGCGGATCGGAGCGAGGGCCCGGGGGCCCTCGAAAACGAGGGCACGGCTAATGGGAGAGAGCGAAGAAGGGAGGCTGGTTCGATCCACGGCCGCAGTTTTCTCGGGCGCGCCAACGTCTGGATTTGCCAGAAAGTCGCCGTCTAGGGGGGCCCTGACGGAGAGCTGACCCGCCGCCCCTCCGCTACGTCCCGCCACCGACGGCCTCCTCCGCCTCCCTTCTGTTCCCTCCCTCCTTCTTCGCTCGTCCCTCTCGTCCCTCCCTCCTTCCTTCTTCACACATCTCCTCCTCCTCCTCCTCCTCCTCCTCCTCCTCCTCCTCCCTCCTCCTCCTCCTCCTCCTCCTCCTCCTCCTCCTCCTCCTCCTCCTCCTCCTCCTCCCCCTCCCCCTCCTCCTCCTCCTCCTCCTCCTCCTCCTCCGTCCTCGCCCACTGCTGCCGCTACTCCTGTGGTCCCCCAGCTTTTCTTTGTGCGGGGCAGGCGTAGCAGCAGCAGTTCTCAGAGCAGCAGCAGCAGCAGCAGCAGCAGCAGCAGCAGCAGCAGCAGCAGCAGCAGTTAGTTGAGGACGCTGATCTCTTCAAGGCGCGCTCCTCCCCCATCCTCCTCCTCCTCCTCCTCCTCCTCCTCCTCCTCCTCCTCCTCCTCCTCCTCCGAATCCGCCTCCGCCTCCTCCGCCTCCTCCTCCGTACTCGCCCCCCTCCGCCCCCCCTCGGCCTCACATTGTTCATCCCGTCGGCCACAGGAACCGATGATCGCACCCCTTCGCCAGCTGGTGGACCCCGCTGGCCCGCAGGTCAGCGGATCGGGCGTCGAGGTGCCAAAGGGCTACATGGAGCCCATCATGGTCTGAGGCTTACTGGGCCCTGGAAACGACAGGGTTTTTGTTGCCGGTTCCGTTTTGCCGTTTTTGCTGCCGGTTCCGACGCCGTTTTTTTGCCGGTTCCGTCGCCGTTTTTTGACCGATTCCGGCTCCGGTTCCAATCCTGGAGCCGTTTTTTGTTGCCGTTTCCGGTCGCCGTTTTTTGCCGTTTCCAGTCTCAAGGGGCATTTTTTTGGAAACGGTGAACAAACGGCCCTGCCGTGTCCGGGGCCCACAAAGGTCTGAGGGCTTTGCCCTCTTAATTGGATAGCATACGGTCGGGAATCTCTGCGCTCGCAGGCCTAGAGGTTGACACCAACACCAATTTCGGCGGCGTGCCTCCACCGAGGGAAGCAAGATCCCGATCTCGGCGATGGTGGTAACATTCTGGCTTCCAGGGCGGCCGAAATATTACCACCAACACCGAAACCTACAACCCTCGTCAAAAATAAACTGAGGGATTATGTTTTCGGTGATTGTATGGTCAGCGCTACTCCAATGCTGACGCTAGACATCTGACGCGGACGCAAGGGCTTCAAAGATCCGACGACCCCTCCGCAGCATTGAAGAACGCTGTTTCTAACAAGTGCCCCAGAAGATCGATCGTCGTGATTTCCAACTGCGTTTCTGTTTATTTTTGACGAGGCTTGTAGGAGGTCGACCCTGCGAAGTCGAGGGGGTAAGCACGCTTGCGCCCTGTGTTCCGCGCCCCTTGCCTTCCCATGGCAGTGTCGGCCCTCGGACGGTCGGCCACGCGCAGAGGTGGAGGGGGAGGAGGAGGAGGGGGAGGAGGAGGGGGAGGGAGGAGGAGGAGGAGGAGGAGGAGGAGGAGGAGGAGGAGGAGGAGGAGGAGGAGGAGGAGGAGGAGGAGGAGGAGGAGGAGGAGGAGGAGGGGGAGGAGGAGGAGGGGGAGGGGGAGGGGGGAGGAGGAGGAGGAGGAGGAGGAGGAGAGACCCCCTCGAGGAGAGCTGTCCGCTTCCAGGGCATAGCATGCGGCATAGCGTTATGTCGGGCGTGTCCCCCTACAGGGGGGAGCTTCGAGGAAAAAATTGAAGGTACTCCCAAAGTGCCCCAAGAGGGTCAAGACATGAGCAACAAAAATGATCCCCGGACTATTTTTGTGTTATTTTTTCGATTGTTTTTGGGGTATAAAAAAAACAATTTTCGTCGAAAATCCCCCTGTAGGGGGACAGGTCCGACTTAAGCATAGCGTGTCGACGGGGCCGCCGCCACGACACTCCCAGACCCCCTCGAGTTCTGGAAAAAATCACGACGGGAGGTTGTTCACCATTTTGGGGCCTTGGGGGGCCCTGTATACCGGCCCTCGGGGCCGTGAACAAAACGGCTCGGGACGAAAAGCCGGTCCCGGGGAATGGGTCGAGACCTCGGGGGGTCGACGCCATGAAAAAATCATGACGTCGGGGGTCTGGGGTTGCAGGGCATGGCGTGCCGCCGGGGCCGCCGCCACGACGCTCCAAGCACAGGTTCTTGACCGTAGCATCATTTCCGCCTGAACGCCGCCACACACTCGGGGTCAGCCCCGCTTGGGGCTGACAGCGCCGGGTTCAGCTTTAAGGCAGTGGTATTGTTCTTCGGGCGTGCCCAGCTGCTTCTGCGGCGCCAGCGCCGCACTGCTAATGCCACACCGTATGCAGACCCTGAGATCACACGCTGCGAGAAAAATGCAACACCACGAAAAATGACGACCAGAGCCCAATAAGCCCCATCATTCTGCGGCATCTTTCGAGCCAGATCCATCTGCGATGGTCGCGGAGCCCGAAAGCGGGCGAAACCCCACGGCGTGGAAGTTTGCAATGCCCAGATGCCCCCCCCCCCCCCCCGCGCTTGGCTTTCGAGCCATAACTCAGCTCTCCGACGGCGGTTCGTGGCGATCCTGGCACCCCCGGGACGCCCTCGGCGAAGCGCAGCTCCTGGAGAGCATCCCGAGGCGAGAAGCCGTCCAGGAACGGACGCGAACGCCCCGAAGACCTCGAGCCTCGAGCCCCGTGGGGCACCCCGGAGTGAGCAGCGCCCGGATCTCAGGCCGAGAGGGGCCCACGCATGGAGCGCCCTCCGCGGGCGCCCGCGCCCGAAGCGGCCGGCGCCCCGCCACGTCGCGATGCATCTTCGGGGGGCCGCCTGTCCCCCCAGAGCTGGTAATTGCTGCCAGCCTGGAACCCAGACCCCCTCGAGTGATGAAAAAATCATGACGGGAGGTTTTGGCTAACTTTCGGCCTCCGGGGGCCCTCACCGGGACTCGGGAGCGTCATGGGGAAAGGGTCGGGACCTCTGGGGGTCGACGTAATGAAAAATTCATTACGTCGGGGGTCTGGGAACATACCCCCATCCCTGTGCTGGGCATCTCCTCCTCACGATGCCAGTCTCAGGGGTCCCCTTCTTTCCTGTTGAGGGCGCATCCCTGAGATGGTAGTCGCCTTTGGGCGTGTCGATCTTAGGGGTAGGGATAAGTTCGAGGCTGGTAAATTATGTACCTTTGTGCCCGAGGCGGAGACTCGGCGCGGACTCGGACTCGGCGCGGATTCGAGGTGGGCTCGACGCGGACTCGACGAGCCCGGCGCGGATTTGACACGGACTCGGTGCGGACGGTGGCGCGACGAGACTCAAGCAGTGGCGAAGCGTCTTGCCTCGCCTATAGCCCTACGAAACAATGCTCTGAGAACCTTTTCTGTGGTTTCCACGAAGTGTACCTTTCTGGCGGAGTCTGTCTCGTTTTAGCGCCTCGTGCTTCTGCTCTGAGAACACCTGCCCCTGCTCGAAGAACACTCTTGGGCTCCACGAACACTTCGTGGCAAGACTGATAGGACTGCCGGGCCGGTCGGTCCCCGCTCAAGGGACAGCCCCAGACCCCCGACGTCATGATTGTTTCATGACGTCGACCTCCCGAGGTCTCGACCCATTCCCCGGGACCGGTTTTTCGTCCCGAGTCGTTCTTTGACGGTCCCGAGGGCCGGCAAGGGCCCCCCAAGGCCCAAAATAGTGAAAAACCTCCCGTCGTGATTTTTTCATATTTCGAGGGGGTCTGGGAGGACAGCCGAGGCCCCCCCCAAGAGACGCAGCACGAGCCGCGGCCTGCGCGCGGCCGGGCGCACCTCGGCGGGCCCCCGGCGCGTGCCGCGCGGCCGGGCGCGCGGGCGCGGGAGGTGCCCGCGCGGCCCGGGCGGCCGGCCAGCGGGCCCACGACGCCACTCCGAGGGCCAGAGGGCCGGCCGAGCAGCTCCGAGGCGGGCACTGAGCCACGACCACCGCCGGGAGGGTCGGTGTTCGGAGCCTCGGCGGGCGGTGGAGGTGGACATGTTTCGCAGGCCTAGAGATTGACACCAACACCAACATCGGCGGTGTGCATCCAGCGAGGGAGGAAGATCCCGATCTCGGCGATGGTGGTAATACTCTGGCTTCCAGGGTGGCCGACAGATTGCCACCAACACCGAAGTCGAGCATCGTCTTCCCCCTGTGGAGGCAAACCCTTGTGTTGGTGTTGGTGCCCATTTCTAGGCCTCCAAAGGTTCGGGCCCCCGGGGGCCGAGACAGAGCCATGTCCACCGCCCGCTGGGGCGCCAGGGCGTCGGCCCCCGGGCGGGGTGGATGCCCTGACTCCGGATCCGCCCTACTTTGGGGAAATTCGTAAGTGGGGCTTGGAATTTCCGCCTTACGTTTCAAGCCCCGCTGATGCCAATTTCCGCCCTACTTTTCTGTTGCTGTTTCTGTGGATTTCCGCCCTATTTGATGTTGGGTGCAGCAATTTCCGCCCTATTTTTGTCGGCCTCTTATAGGTGGATTTCCGACGCAATTTTAAGTTGGAAAAAAAGCCAAAGTAGGGCGGATCCAGAGTCAGGGATGTGGATACCTCCCCAGACCCCCTCGAGCTAGGACAGAATCACGACGGGAGGTTTTTCCCTATTGTTGGCCTTTGGGGGCCCTTTACCAGCCCTCGGGGCCGTCAAACAACGACTCGGGACGAAAAGCCGGTCCCGGGGGGAATGGGTCGAGACCTCGGGGGGTCGACGTCATGAAAAGATCATGGCGTCGGGGGTCTGGGTCCCCGCCTCGCAGTACTGGCGAGGCGTCCCGGCGTTCCGAGGATTTAGGCCTACCAGGAAGTCTTCTGAGAACCTCCTTTGTGGTTTGCACACAAGGTGTTCTCAGGACATCTCTGGCTGAGACCGCCTTGCTTTCACACATCAGGCCTGTGTTCTGGGAGCCGTGTTTTTGTTCTGAGAACATCTTGGCGTTCGAAGAAAATTTCGTGGCAGGCCTGTAGGATTGCCGGGACGATCGGTCGGTCCCTGCTCAAAGAGGAGCATATGCAGGAATTCCCAGATGAGCGGCGGCAGAAAAGAGGCTCGTCTTCACCTGCACTGGCGCGTGCGCCACCGCGCGAGGTCGCTACGCCGCCATCTCTCGCCCAGATGGGGTCCGAGTATCAGAGGAGGAAACGGTACTCCAGATTTCGTAATAAAGGGAGGGGGGTCTCATTTCGGAGGGGGGTCTCTTCCAGGCTATCTTGGAGGGCCTGGGGGGTCTGGGGACGATGTTTTGGAGGGTCCTCCCACGGGGGAGCTCTGACATGGCTTGTCTTGGAGGGTCCAGACCCCCTCCCTTTTATCACGAAATCTGGAGTACTGATACCGCTACCTCCCTATCGAAGCAGTCGTCAGACGTGTTGCCCCAGCAGCTGTAGAGCCCCTTGGGGAACGCCTGCGAGAAGAAGGGGACGGAGGAGATGGAAAAAGAGGGAGGGAGAGGAGGAGGAGGAGGAGGAGGAGGAGGAGGAGGAGAAGGAGGAGGAGCAGGAGGAGGAGGAGGAGGAGGAGGAGGAGGAAAAGGTGCTGATGCCGCTGCCTCCCTCCGTTTTCGCCCTTCTGGCCTTCCGGACAGGCCCTCGTTGCCCCGGCCGGATTCGCCTCGAGGGCCTGAGCAGAACGCGCCCAAAAGGAGAGGTCCAGGGAGTATACTCCAGATTCCGTGATAAAAGGGAGGGGGTCTGGACCCTCCAAGACGAGCCATTTCAGACCTCCCCCGTGGGAGAACCCTCCAAAACATCGTCCCCAGACCCCCCCAGGCCCTCCAAGATAGCCTGGAAGAGACCCCCCCCGAAATGAGACCCCCCTCCCTTTATTACGAAATCTGGAGTACATGTTTTTTTTTGGTTCCCCAAAGTTGATGGGGTCGGAGGATTGTCCTCTCGCCCCCCGCCTGACACCAGATCCGCCGCATTTTGTGTCGGAAGCGCATCCCGTAGGACTCAACACGTAGGACGGAAATTGTGTTTCGGAAGGGTAGGGCAGCCATTTCCGCAGAAGTATGGCGGAAACAGCGATGACAAAGTAGGGTGGAAATCGACATCAAAGGTGCCTGAAACGTAGGGCGAACATTTCCGCCTACTTTCGAAGTCGCCCAAGCACGGCGGATCCATAGTTAGGAACGCCCGTGGGAAGGGGTCTCACGATGAGAAGGTACCGATACCGCTGCTCGTCCTGGAGAGCCCTCTCGTGAGCATGATCGGAAGAGGTACGGAAAGGATGGGGACGAAGACCGACAGCAGTTCTTGTCCATTGAACACAGGATTCGCTGTCGGCGTCGCCGCGGTGTCGTCCACTTGAGACAGAGAGGCGCCCGCCCAACGGCGGCCGTAATCGGATTTGGACAGCAACTGCTGTTGGGCATCGTATCATACACTGCTCCGTGCCCAGCTCCCCAGACCCCCGACGTCATGATTTTTTCATGACGTCGACCCCCCGAGGTCTCGACCCATTCCCGGGGACCGGTTTGTCGTCCTGAGTCGTTTTTTGACGGTCCCGAGGGCCGGTAAGGGCCCCAAAGGCCAAAAATAATGGAAAACCTCCCGTCGTGATTTTTTCATAACTCGAGGGGGTCTGGGTCGGGCGCGCCAGGCGTGACCACGGCTGGACTCGCCTCGAAACCTTGGTCAGAGCGCGCCCCAGGAGAGAGGCCTCGGGAGCGGCGGCATCGGCACAGGGGTTGCCAGAGGCGTCCCTGGCCCCGGGGGCCCGCGGGGATCTCCGCGGAGGACCCCGCGGCCTCCGGAGCACCCCCCCATCGAGGGCCAGGGGGCTCCCGACCCAGACCCCCTCGAGTTATGAAAAAATCACGACGGGAGGTTTTTCACTATTTTTGGCCTTTGGGGGCTCTTACCGGCCCTCGGGACCGTCAAAAAACGACTCAGGACGAAAAACCGGTCCCGGGGAATGGGTCGAGACCTCGGGGGGTCGACGTCGTGAAAAAATCATGACGTCGGGGGTCTGGGGAGACTGCAGCCATGTGGAGCGGAAGGCCAGGTGTGCACCTCCCTTGGGCCAAAGCCCCGATCGGTACCGTCCTGTTCACCCACTTAAGGGGGGGGGGGGGAGGGGGGGGGAGGGATCGGGGGGGGGGGGCGAGGCGACCCTCGCCCTGCGCGAGAAGCGGCGGCGGCGTTCGGGGCCACGATGGCCCGACGTCGGATCGGCCTTACTCTCTTGGGCGTCGTCGCAATCCAGGCGGAACTGCTGGCCCTACTTCTCAAAAGCTCCTTTGGTGTTGAGTTCCGCCCTATTTTGCCGTCGCTGCTTCCGTCATGCTTTTGCGGAAATCTCTGCCCTTTTTTCCGATGCGGAAATTACGTATATTCGTCGCATCGTTCGGGGTGCATATCCGGCACAATTCTAAGTCCAACACTCAACCAAAGTACGGCGGACCGGGAGTCCAGGCAGGGGGGATAATGTTCAGGGAGGGTGTGAAGGGGGAGGGGGGGGGGAGGCTCCGAGGTTCGAGATTTTTGAGCCTTCTCGCTGGTTCCTGGCGCTCTCCCGGCCTCAGGATGCTCTCCAGCAGCCGCGCCTCGCCAGGAGACGCAGAGCCGAGCCGTGGCCCGAAAGAGCCAAGGGGCAACGTGAGGGGGTCATAGGCTCAGGAGGAGGAGGAGGAGGAAGAGGAGGAGGAGGAAGGAGGAGGAGGAGGAAGGAGGAAGGAGGAGGAGGAGGAGGAGGAAGGAGGAGGAGGAGGAGGAGGAGAGGAGGAGGAGGAGGAGGAGGAGGGAGGAGGAGGAGGAGGGAGGAGGAGGAGGAGGAGGAAGAGGAGGAGGAGGGGCAACGTGAGGAGGTCAGAGGCTCAGGGGCAGTGCAGCGGCCCCGTCTCGCCCACTCGTCGCCGACCATGGGGCCTCATGGCCAACGCCCGCCCGTCGGGGGCCCACCGCCGATTCCAGGTCGACGCTCTCCCCCGCTGGAGCCAGCCCCCCCTCGCAGGCCTCGAGGTTGGCACCCACACCAATGTCGGCGGTGTGCCTTCACCGAGGGAAGAAGATCCCGATCTCGGCGATGGTGGTGACATTCTGGCTCTCAAGGTGACTGATCTATATATATATATATATATGTATTACCACCAGCACCGGGATGAGGGGGAGGGGCGCTGGGGCGCGGGCGGTGATGGGCAGATCTCCCACCACCACTGCCATAGGTAGGAGGAGGAGGAGGAGGAGGAGGAGGAGGAGGAGGAGGAGGAGGAGGAGGAGGAGGAGGAGGAGGAGGAGGAGGAGGGAGGGAGGAGGAGGAGGAGGAGGAGGAGGAGGAGGAGGAGGAGGAGGAGGAGGAGGAGGAGGAGGAGGAGGAGGAGGAGGAGGAGGAGGAGGAGGAGGAGGGAGGAGGAGGAGGAGGAGGGAGGAGGAGGAGGAAGGAGAGGAAGGAGGAGGAAGGAGGAGGAAGGAGGAGGAAGGAGGGAGGAGGAGGGAGGAGGAGGGAGGAGGAGGAGGTCAGATCCCAGGGCTGCAGGCCAGCTCTCTCTGGCGGCCGCTCGGGGCGATCCCCCGGCCCCCCCCCCCGGTGCGCTCCCGGCGCGGCGCAGCTGCCGGGGAGCCTCCCGAGAGGCGAGAGAGAGAGAAGACACGCCCAGGAGCCCACGAGGGCGCCCGACAGCCCCGAGAGCCTCGAGCCTCGGGGCCCGGGTCTCGCCGGGGCAGCAGGCCAGCTCTCTCTCTCTCCCTCTCCCCCGCGCGGCTCCTCCCTCGCCGAGCGCGCGCGCCGAGGCCGAGGCCGGCCTGCGGCCCCCCGCGAGAGAGGGCCGCCGCCTCGCGCGCCGGAGGGGGGCGCTCCCTGGCGCGGCAGCTGCCCCGCGCGCGCGGGCACCTGGGAGCGCGGGGGGGGGGGATAAAACAGGGCTAGGATCGGGACAGATCGCTCCTCTGCTCTCTGATCGTGTGCTCGTCACTAGCTGCTCCTGGCCCCCTGGTGGCCAGGAGGAGGCCCAAGATAGAACCATTAGAAATGACAGGATCTAAGACAGGGCTCTAGGATCGGGATAAATCGCTCCAGAG